AGTCGATTTTTAATGAATATTACTAATAATATCTAGACCCTTTTCCTTACTTTATACGATCCTGCGATAAGAATGGGACTATGCGAAGCAGAACACTTCATGTCTAAAAAGGCTATAAGGGCAATAAGTATAACATTCTTTATCAGTAGTTTTATCAAAATTCATATATCACAAGAACTTGGCATTCCCAGATCGTTGAGATCGTTGACTTTTTTACTTCGCAGAAGAGATCATCAAATCTAAGAAGTGGTTAATTTTACTAGAAAAAATAACAAAATATATTCAGTATTTGGAGCTTATGACTAGGCAGACTTGCTTTGCTAAGTATGATTTGGCATTGTGTTAGAGTAACATAATTACTAATTATAGAATTTTTTTCTGGTAGGTTTTTTAGATCTGACGAATGGATGGTATAAAATTAAGCGATTTTTGGCTCATAAGGCAGGTAGTAATAAGTTGCATATTTTTTTGACTTAATTTAATTGCAATTTATTCTCAAGATAATGTCTTGTTTATTATGTGGAAGCTACAACTTACTGAGTTTCTTTATTGCTTAACGAAGTCTATGGAAATAAAATTTATGAATTTTTATTTTTAGCACAAAATGAGCAGTACTAACAATACCACCACCCCCAAGACTAATGAACCTAACACCTTCAAGACCAGCAAAAGTAATGCCTCCAAGATCAGCAAAAGTAATGCCCAAACTTTGTCTAAACCTCAAAACAAGCTAAGAGAAAACTTACCTCATAGGTAAACTTTGTATTGCATGATTATTTATTATATTTCTGAAACAGGAATAAGTTTTCTATTTTATAAATTAGGCAATATCCCCCAGGAACCTTCGAATGAAATAGATAACTACTATTCTGATAAAATAGAAGATAAGTGTGAAGACTCCTCCAACCTCCTATTTAACAATGATATATACTTTGGAGCTGGTGATGCTAATTGTAGTGATCAGAAAAAATATGATCAGAGCGAAATTGATTGATATAGAAAAAAAATTTTTTTTTGTTTTTTATATGTCTTTACTTCGGTAAAGTTTTTATATTAATAAAGCAAGGTTCTAGGCATGAAGTGTCATTATTTTAAAATATATTATTTTTGGAGTGACTTATACTCTGTGTAGTATGAAATAAAGAGGAGCTTTATTTTTTATTTTATCATAATTTTGTGAATAGGTAGAAAAATTAGTTGAGATTTAAATGTGTATAAATAGAGGTATAGCCATGATGTGTTATAAAACAAAAATTTATGAACGTACTTTTATTTCCATGATCGAAATCATAATATAACAAAATGTGATTTATTCTTTGGCTAGAACTGGCTAAAAATTTGTACGAATTGATTATAAGTTTTTTCCCATTCTTTCATAAGATTATCGAGCCATGCAGTACTTAAACCGCTCTTTACCATACTATGATGTAATAACTCTTCACCGACCAGCCTCTCCCAATCTGTTAAAAATTCATGATATATACAGGGAGTTGAATTAACCATCTATTTTTTAGTAACCTCATAATTGTGGAAAAAATGATTTATGGTTGTTATATTTGGATTAAATTCTGATATTATAACATATAAATTAAACACTTATCTATAATATATATTGTAAATTATTTGATTATAGGTCAAAGCTTTTGGGTGCTTGATTAATAAACTTAATTTTTTGTATTTTTTCTGGAATGACAATTTCTGGCTTTTCATCATACCACACTTCAAAAAGAAAATTTTCATTATCTTGACATATACATCTTTTTAGCCGATCACGATTTACAACATCTTCAAGTTTTTTGACATCTTTATACCAGCTAGTGCTATGAAACCAATGCTAATTCCCTTGTACTTCTAATGCAATTCAGTATTTTTGAAAAAAGGCATCAAGTTCCAACTCATTCAAGTAAGGAGAACGATACTCGGTTATCGGCTTTTCCTCAAGTAATACTTGAGCTATTAGGATATATTTTTTCTAAAATTTACAATTTTTCTTAAACTCTAGTTCTTTTTTAAATTCATCTAAATCCTGTTTTAACTTTATATTCTTGGTTTCAACTTCTTCTTTGCCATGCTTTAACTTCGTATTTTTGGTTTTGATTTTGATATTCTCATTTTTTAATTTATCTATTTTCTTTTCTAATTTAGGTACTAAATTGTAGAATATATCACAATAACTCCTCTATCAATAAAAAGAAAGCAAAGATTGAGTTGTAATTTTTTTACCAATTCATTAATCTCTTTATCTTTGAATGATCTGGGTTTAAGAACTCATTCATAAATCATTTCTTTAGAGAATGTTTTTATCTCATTCCAAAAATCTAAAGACCACTCTGATGCCAATTCTAATAAATCAATTTTGGGATGTATATTTGTCATTATTTGTGAAGATTCAGAGTTTATCCAAGGATCAAGGCCGGTTTCTTTCTTATAATGTTTATACAACTTGGAATGAATCTCATTTATCGAAATACTTGGCACTACAGTAATTTCAGGAGTTAGTGTTTTATGAGTTTTTGATTCTGCACTTTGCTCTTCTATATTAACATTTTACATGATCATAAATCAATTTAAATTAGATATTGACTTTTCGTAGCATAATCACATATCGATTGTGGAAAATACACATGGCAAAATTTTAGAGAACAAATGTTCATCAAAAAATAAAAATAAATTCAGGATAAAAAATAAATTTGCTTTATTGTAACAATAAAATATATAGACACAGATGCTGGATACATCAGTATAAATGCATCGCTTATAAAATGTCTATTGCCTGTGAAGCAGGATATTCTATATCTAATATACACGGATTAAATAATAATGTTCTGATTTTGTATAAGTTTTACCGGTATTGAAATCATAATAATAATCTTTATCATTGTCATTAGAAAAACCACAGAACTTCTCATTATCTTCATTGTTATTGAAGAAATCATCATTATCAGAGAAATTTTCTAGCTCATTATCAGATAAAGTAGTAATTAAAGATTGTGGTTTACTATTATTGGCTTTTGTGTCTAATATCTCAATTTTTGATAATACTTTCTCAGGCAATACACTTATCTTAGTTCCCAGTAAAGTTTTCTTGGCTTCTTCATTTAACTCAGCTTTGGGTAAATCATCTGAAGAATTGTTCTGATTATCGGTATATTCTATATCAGGCTTTTTGGTAAAATGGTCTATAATCATTTGAATCTGTAAATTAGTAAATCTTGAAATAGTATCCACACTATAAGTTTTGATATATTGAACTTTACCCATTCCTATTTTTTCAAATAAATTGTCAATTCTTAAAGCCTTTTGCGTCTGCTTACACAAATTTCCATGCTTGGTGGCAAGGAGTTGCTTGATAATAAAATCATATACTCGACCCTTTGCTTTTTTCTCACCAATTCTATCATTGATTATAAAATTTTTAACCATGCTTTTAAATCTTTTAGCATAGAAACACCAACACAAAATTTCTTTTTGATTAGCTTTGATTGCGTCTTTTTTTGCATCGCACGTATTTTGATATAGACAGATAATATCTTGGGTCTCTGAGTCTCGTGTTATTCTGGAATTGTCACAATTTGGATAAACATTGTTCTCTGAAATTTTGATCATATGATTTATTTCAGGAGAAATAATACTTTGTACTTGTTTCTTGATAGATGTTGATATTTCTTGTATTAAATCTTGCTCATGTAAAATATTAGGTGTATTATTCTCAGGAGTTGAGGGTGTCTCTTGTTCCTGGAGTTTCTTTTCCACAATTCTCTCCATTATCTCTTTACTAACCTGTTCCTTATACTGCAAATTCATAAATTCATTTTCTTTCTTCTCCTTCAATAATATAGTTTTTGCAGGAATAGGAGATGTGGGGGTTAATGAATCCTGGTATGTATCAGAATTGCCAGAGGCAGTCACTTCGTCACTAGATGTGTTATCAGATATATTGGATGTGGGGATATTATTCTCTAACGATTTGGAACTAGTACCAGCAGGGCTTATAACAGGGTTGGGTATATTGACATTACTTTCTCTTTGAGAGAGAACTATCTGTTCAGAGATGTACCTATTACTGTTTTGCGAGCTCTGCTCCTTAATTAGCAAGACATCATGTTTCAGTTTAGCAATAAGGTCAGTTTTTTCTCTATCTCTCTGCTCTAAATTCAAGAATCTGGCTTCAACTTCTTCTTTGTCTTGTTTTAATTTTGTATTCTTGGATTCAAGATCAGCATACTTCTTTCTAATCTCGAATGTAAGCTTGGTATTTAATTCTCTTAGCGAAATAATTGTAGATTGTGTATCTGTCATTGTTTTATATAGGGTGCGAATATATTCAATTCTTTATCGTAAAGATTTAAATTCACGTAACAAAAATCGCTGGATTAAATACAATAAGTAAAAATGCCAAGAAATTTCAGCGAACAATGTTTGTCAAAAAAATGTCAAGAAAAATTTTCGATCGCATCAATATCAATACAATAAAACAAACCCACGAAATACACATGCAAAGTTAACTTGTTTATGTATGCGAAACCGAGCCACCAGGGCCAGCTTTATTAATATAAAAAATAAAAATAACAATCCGTTTTGGCAATGTTTCTTATTTTATAAAACCAAGGTTCCCAGGCACAAAGTGCCATTATTTCTTTTTACTTAATAAGGTACAGTACATTTGTTCTAATAATCGTATAATCAGAACCTTCCCTCAAGAGGTTCACACTAAAATTACAAACAATGCATATAAATTCATGTGGATCTTTTATTAGATCTTTTAAAGTGTTCCAGGTCAGAATAGTATGTACAGAAAAAATAAACTTTCATTGGGAAACAGTCATTTATAACGTTAAGTGCTAGTTCCCTTATATACACAGTGATCATTTGTATTGTTGTATCTACAAATACCCACGAAGAATAACTAGTTGAAACAATAAAAGCCTGATTGTGCTTAACTATTATCATATTACAATACACAATATAATGAAATTTTGATTTAAAACTTGCTCAGATTACTATGGAGTTTCATAAATTGGTATTTCAGCTTGAATCTGATCAGATTGTGTGACTGACTCTAAAAGCGTTGCTAATTCAACGTCAATACTATCAATTTTTTTAACTGTCTCCTTAACTAATATACGATAATTGTATAATGCTTTGATTATTTTTTTAATGTACTCTAATGAATTTGGACCAGCTTCTAAAGGTATATGAAGGCTTTCCAAACTCCGAATTCTATAAAAAGGTAAAAATTTACAATCAATGATCGAAAGTGTCAAAAAATAACCTAACGAATATTTTGTTAAGGTTAGTATATAATATATAATGGTGCAATATTCATTTTATAAGATAATAGTTACCATGAGATTGGATTATAAATATATTTATATTTTCCAGTTTTTTATGATCTTGCACATGAAAAAGGTTATAAATGCTTTCAAACGAAGCTTTACTAAATTTCGCTAACCTTACTTGATCTTCATATATATGATCTGAATTATTTGGATGATTGGGTCCGTACGATGTTTCTCCAAATATTATTTCATAATTATATGTCTTATTAGCCACGCTCCGCATATAACCTTGAAAATCTCCCTTTTTTGATTTGCATCGTATGTTTAAGGTTGACTCGATTCGCCTATTATCCCTACGGAAAAATACAGTAAAATGATAAACACTTGTACAAAAAGGTGAGTAATTATAAATAAAAGTAAATAGGTACCAGTTTCGGCATATTTTGATGCCATGTAGTACGTAATCAATGGCCGGTCCTACAAAGTCGTGGTTCCACGTACTTTCAATAATCAAATCATCCTTTTTGTATGTTGGATTCTCCCATAAATTTTTACTTGAGAATGGATATAAGATAGATTCTATTTTAGCTTTATAGTTAGTTCTCTATAATCATACTTGAATCAATAATGGATTACAAACATCTTGTAAATTAAATTATTTAAAGAACGGTATTCCTCTTTCATAAATTTTCTATTACTTGAATTATTATAGTGTTCGTCAGGTATTCGATCATCATCATCAAGAACAACGCGTTCTATATGTTTTTCGAATTCTGCAGGAATATCATGTACTACAATATCTTCATTGATATGATGCCAAACATCTCTTAACTCCAAATGCGCTTTCAATGAACGTGAAATTTTTCTCGTATCAATTACGCCTGATAAAATAACCATCTTTTTGAAGATCCGAGAATTGAATCCAATTGCTTAATATTTTTACTACATTGTTATCACTATTTATTGTTAACTTAAAAAAAATAAATTAATGTATAATGCTTAATTCTGTAATCTATTATTAAAAATAACTTACGTTTGAAATATTTTTTATGGCTTCACTAACTTTCGACATGGTATCATATATTTTTATACATCTCTGTAAATCATATTTTATAGCCTCGTTTTTTAAAAACTTAAAAAAATCTTCAATATCTTTTCCTTCTTTTGCTAAATTATATTTTCTCCACACGTTCTTAATAGTACTTGCTTTCTATAAAAAAAGGTCCCATTATTACATCGCTACTAAATAAATCGCAATAATATTTATAATAATATTATCAGAAAAATATGATACAACTGGCGAAGATATATTTAAAATACAGCGCTCGGCCAGTATATTTGAATATAGCAAAACGAAGCTGGCGAGGATATATTTATGCTCCGGAAACATAAATATAGAGCCCGGCCAACATGTTTCTTTGGCGAGGATATAATATAGAGCCCAGCCATTTACCTCACTTATATATCATCATTTGAATACATTTTTCATTTTTTATAAATACATAATTCTCTTACCTTTGTCTTACTTATATTATGTACTTTATTTTCGTAAAAGTTGTGTATGCTTCTTTTCCAATCCGTAGTAAAGTTATTCACACAACCAAGAACAAACGTCAGTAAAATAAATTTATATAACATTATTTCTGCGTCATCAACTTTTACAAGCTTCAGCCTTTCAAAAGCCTCATCAAGAACCTTATCAATTTCCATTCTGAATTTGGTTAACGTTAATAATAAAGTCCGATTATGATATTGCTATTCTTTGTTATAACCCTGCAACAATCAGAAGTTTCACAAATAATTTTTTGAGTATTTCACCAGGTTTTTTTTGTCCCTGAAATAATCATCACATGAGTATGGCCGAATTTATTTTAGGAAAATGTTAAAATAGATCTTTGTGCATGTGCCCGAATACAGAGAAATATATTGGATGAATAAAATACGTAGAGGCAAGACGTATACGTGTTATTATTTAATTATTTGAGGATATAACAGATAGGGCTTGGGTTCTTAGAGAATTTTCACATTCGCATCGCTTATATATTCCATCCGCCACCTTTTTGCATGTTTCGCAATATAGATGTGAATGATGATTGCATTCGTCACAAACCTTACACCCGCGCTTCCACCCTTTAAAGATATGCCACTTTTCGATATAATTTTGTT